TGGACAACAGTTTTGGTAATCCCGCACCTCCTCCTAACTTCCAAACTACGAATTCTCTGCATTATATTCACACCACACATTGCCCTCAGACATGACATCTCCACTGCCTCCAGCCTTCTCCTCGCTGCAACATTCATCACCCATGCTTCACACCCATATAAGAGCGTTGGTAAAACTATACTCTCATACATTCCCCTCTTTGCCTCCAAGGACAAAGTTCTCTGTCTCCACAGACTCCTAAGTGCACCACTCACTCTTTTTCCCTCATCAATTCTATGATTCACCTCATCTTTCATAGACCCATCCGCTGACACGTCCACTCCCAAATATCTGAATACGTTCACCTCCTCCATACTCTCTCCCTCCAATCTGATATTCAATCTTTTATCACCTAATCTTTTTGTTATCCTCATAACCTTACTCTTTCCTGTATTCACCTTTAATTTTCTTCTTTTGCACACCCTACCAAATTCATCCACCAATCTCTGCAGCTTCTCTTCAGAATCTCCCAAGAGCACAGTGTCATCAGCAAAGAGCAGCTGTGACAACTCCCACCCAAGTAATAGCAGTATCACTTGCTTATCAATCAGGGAGTGGCCCATAAACAACAGACCAACAGGTTTACTAGCCTGAGACAGAGACAAGCAGATGGAAAGACACACTAACACATGCAGACAGAAAGATAAGCAGAACTAGACAGACAGACAGACAGATAGATAGATGGACAGGCAGACAGACATACAGACATATGTTTGTGTGCAAGAGTAAAAGCATAAAGGCAAGGTTCCCTACAGCAGTGCACATTCATCAAATGTCACTGGCTGTCATTTATCTGACACTTGTCATAATGCCATTCTTCACGGAGTTTCATATTATACTCCAGGCACACACACAAGACAGAAAGACAGATGAGCAGAACTAGACAGACAGATAAGCAGAGCTAGACAGACAGACAGACAGGCAGATAGATAGACTGACAGATAGACATAAAGACATGTTTCTGTGCAAGAGTAAAAACATATAAAGGCAAGGTTCCCTCCAGCAGTGCACATTCATCAAATGTCACTGACTGTCACTTGTCATAGCACCATTCTTCAAGGAGTTTCGTACTCCAGCGTGTCTAAAACATTGTTGGAACCTATAAATACTTTCTAGACAATAGTAAATGACCAGGTAATTGATGACTTGTCTAGGAATTTAAACTGATAGATTATAGAGGTATGGGTGTTTGTGGGAAACAATCAGGCTGCAGCATTAGTGTTAAAAACAGCAGTTATTACTGGGATACCTCAGGAATATGTTTAAAAGACAATATTCAAAATAAAGTTGCTAGTAATGGCAAATCAATTAATCAACAAACAAAGAGAGATGATAGAGGGCAACGAGTGACTAGCTCCCTTAAGGTTTACTATACAAATAGTAGGAGTCTAAGAAATAAGATAGATGAGCTAAAATTACTTGCAAGTGTAGGTAATATAGATATTATTGGTAGAGACCTTGTTCAACCTGAAAGATAGAGAAATGCCTTCTGAATGCAACATAGAGGGTTATAAACTATTCCACACTGATAGGGTCAACAGGAAGAGTGGTGGTGTGGCGATGTATGTCAGAGAAAATTTAAATTGTTGTCTTAGACATGTTATAAGATTAGAAACATTGAACACAGAATCGGTTTGGCTTCAGTTTCTCGAGGGTCGTGACAAATTAATTTTGGGTGTGATTTATAGGCCCCCAAACCTTGATAGGGAGTGCAGTAAGCTGTTATGGGACGAAATTCATAGGGCATCTAGATATGAAAATGTGATAATGGGAGATTTTAACTTTAGACAAATTGATTGGAACAATATGACAGGAAATCTTGAGTCTAGTGACTTTCTTGATACGGTTCAGGATTGCTTTTTAGAACAGGTTGTGACAGAACCAACTAGAGGTTCTTGCCAACAAAGATTCACTAATTAATAATCTTGAGGTTAATGATGAGCTTGGGGAAAATGATCACAAATCACTTAGTTTCAAAATATCATGGAACACCCAGATAACTGCAATCAAATCTCTGTCCCAGATTTTCGCTTGGCCGACTTCATGGGACTGAAAAATTACTTGGGTGGGCTAAATTGGGATGTCCTAACTATGGGTCAGGTAGGTGATCTTGGTTGCCAATATGACGTTTTTCAGAGCATAGTTCTAGCTGCCCAGACAACTTTTGTTCCGAATAGGGAAATTAGATCTAACAAAAATGATTCCAAATATATGAACAATAGATTAAAACATCTTATTGGTCAAAAGAGAGGCATATATAGGCGTATCAAAAGAGGGGATGGGCAGTTAAGAATTAAAGAGAGAAATAAAGAAAGGAATAAGAAAAGCAAAAAGAGATTATGAGGCTAAGGTCGCAAGGGATTCAAAGACTAACCCAAAAGGGTTCTTTCAGGTATACAGAAGTAAGATTAGGGACAAGATTGGCCCACTTAAGAGTAACTCGGGTCAGATCACTGACAGTGATAAGGATATGTGTGAAATTCTAAATACCTACTTCCTCTCAGTTTTCACCCAGGGAAATACTAGCGATGTTCCTGAAATAATAGATTACATAGAACAGGATGATAATAAACTATGTACGATTGCGGTAACTAGTGACATGGTCCTCAGACAAATAGAGACACTAAAACCTAGCAAATCCCCAGGTCCTGATGAACTGTTTGCAAGGGTGTTAAAGGAATGTAAAGAGGAACTTAGCATACCTTTGGCTAATCTTTTTAATATATCACTACAAACTGGCATAGTGCCTGATAAGTGGAAAATGGCAAATGTAATACCTATTTACAAGGCAAGTGACAGGTCCTTGGCTTCAAACTATAGACCAATAAGCCTTACCTCCATAGTGGGAAAATTTATGGAATCAATAATTGCCGAAGCAATTCGTAGCCATCTTGACAGGCACAGATTGATTAATGATTCTCAGCACGGTTTTACAAGGGGGCATTCCTGTCTTAGGAATTTACTAACTTTTTTCACTAAGGTGTTTGAGGAGGTAGATCATGGTAATGAATATGATATTGTGTATATGGACTTCAGTAAGGCTTTCAATAGAGTTCCACACCAGAGGCTATTGAGGAAACTTAGGGCACACGGAATAGGAGGAAAAATTTTTTCCTGGTTAGAGGCATGGCTGGCAAATAGACAGCAGAGAGTTTGCATAAATGGGGAGAAATCAGAATGGGGGCACGTCACAAGCGGTGTTCCTCAGGGGTCAGTGTTGGGCCCGTTGTTGTTCACAATTTACATAAACGACATAGATGAGGGAATAAATAACGACATAAGCAAATTTGCTGATGACACCAAAATATGCCGTCCAATTCATTCTAATGAGGACGTTAGAGCACTCTAGGATGATTTGAATAGACTGACGCAATGGTCGGAGAAGTTGCAGCTGCAGTTTAATATTGACAAATGCAAACTTCTAAATGTTGGACAGTTAAATAACCATGCCACATATAAACTAAATAATGTAGATCTTAATACTACCGATTACGAAAAGGATTTAGGAGTTCTGGTTAGCAGTAACCTAAAACCAAGACAACAGTGCATTAGTGTTCGCAATAAAGCTAACAGAATTCTTGGCTTCATATCTAGAAGTATAAATAATAGAAGTCCTCAGGTTGTTCTTCAACTCGATATATCCTTGGTTAGGCCTCATTTAGACTATGCTGCTCAGTTCTGGTCACCGTATTACAGAATGGACATAAATGCTCTGGAAAACGTACAAAGGAGGATGACAAAGTTGATCCCATGTATCAGAAATTTTCCCTATGAGGATAGACTGAAGGCCCTGAATCTGCACTCTCTCGAAAGGCGTAGAATTAGGGGGGATATGATCGTGGTGTATAAATGGAAAACAGGAATGAATAAAGGGGATGTAAATAGTGTGCTGAAAATTTCGAGCCAAGCCAGGACTCGCAGCAATGGTTTCAAGTTGGAAAAATTCAGATTCAGGAAGGATATAGGGAAGTACTGGTTTGGTAATAGAGTTGTGGATGAGTGGAACAAGCTCCTGAGTACAGTTATCGAGGCTAAAACGTTGTGTAGTTTTAAAAATAGGTTAGATAAATACATGAGTGGGTGTGGGTGGGTGTGAGTTGGACCTGACTAGCTTGTGTTGCTGGGTCTGGTACAGTGCTCCATCCTTGAGTGGGGATGACCAGACTGGGTGGGTCATTGGGATAATCCGGGGGGTGGGTCATTGGTCTAATCCGGGGGGGGGGGGGCATGGACCTGCTCCGCATGGGTCAGTAGGCCTGTTGCAGTGTTCCTTCTTTCTTATGTTTTTATGACCAAGGCAGGTGAAACTGTTCACCTGTCAGTGTGATTATTACTGTTTGAGTACTATTTCAGTACATAATATTAGTGTCAGAACAAAGATTGGCTATGAAATCACATGAACTATAATAAATTGTAATTATCAGAACATAAAAATTATATAAATTAAAATAAAAACGAGAAAAAAAGGTAAATCGGCAACGCTTCTGCAAGTGGCAGGACTGGATGCTGCTGTCAGATGAACATCCAGAGTCAACTTCGCGGTCTTATATCTCGGTAAGTACTGGTCCTAATTTTTTTTTTTTTCCCCCCTTATACCACACAGAAAATTGCCCTCTTTAATTTAAAAAGAAAAACATTTTTTTTTTATTTTTCAAAATATTTGAAGTGCCACGCAGGTGAACGTAGATCTACGTTTGGACAGTTTTAGGGTTAAGAACCTTGTATAAAAGACTCGTTGCCATTATATCTTTAGAAATGTAAAGGTAAGGAATATCTGCTTTTGGGGAGAGATTAGTTATTTTATTTCTGTAGATTTTGCAAGTAAATGTGTGAAAACAGGAGACTAATCTTAAATATATAATTTTTTTAAAAAGGAAATTAAAAAATTACTGAAAACTTCAATATTAAGAAAAATTTTGAAAGGTGTAGTTGCCTGATTTAGAGCCCTCTTTCTGCTTCAGACATCTAGTCCAGAGCCTAAGGAAACTTCATCAGCCCCCACTGTGCCCACTTCCACTTCGTTAGGTTCATCCACAACCACCCCACCCTCACCGTCATCCAAGCCAAAGCCCGAGTCACCTACCAAAGCAGATGAGGAAGAAAGGCGCCCATCATGGAGGTTGAAGGTTGATGATTCTGATAAGAATAGGGTAGGTACTTTTGTGAACTATCTACTGCTTTGCAGTATAATATTGTTAGATTTCATAAAATTCTAAGCCCATTTACTATGAGGAGTGGAAGAGGCTTGATCGCTGTTCTTGAATGCTATGTTCCAGGTAAAAAGCTTTGAAATATTTCTTTTGTTGTACTTAGGAAAGTTTTTCGTATCCCTTCTATCCCTTTTCGTATCATTTCTGACTTGTAATGTTTGCTAAGTATGAATTCCTGAAATATGAATGCAGAGGGATTTCAACAGTTCCTATCTCTGTCAATTTTAAAATGTACATACTTACCCTCCCCAACAACAACACAAGCAGCCACTGACCAGACCCATATGAAAGTAAAAAAAAAAAAGAAAATTATTTGTCCAGAATATGTTTACCAGAATATTGGTCGTTCTTGCAGAGCGGGTTTCAATGATAAGGCTTCGGAGGCTTCTTACTTTATTTGCAATGTCGTGGGGTACACAGGCAGTGTGTCAAGTGCCCATGGCCCGGGAGAGTCATGCTCAGCAAGGGAGAGAGGAGTAGGCCTTGTTGACTGAGTGAAGGTTGCTGAGATAATCAGGTAGAGGAAGGTGTGGGCATACTGAAGTGGTAGGCCTATAGGTGGCAGCACGAGCATGGTGCGAAATATGAACTCAGCTGGCAGATAGCATAGGCTCTGTGCAGACAGTATGGCTGTCTACAAATATTTCATACATCAACGAAAAGGTGAACGATAATACTGGATTTTGTAATGTAATGTGTCTTTTTCTGTCTCCTAAACATGCAAGGTTGCAGGTATGTCTTGCTACTTCTACTTACACTTAGGTCACACTACACATGCATGTACAAACATATATATACTAACCCCTCTGGGTTTCTTCTGTTTTCTTTCTAGTTCTTGTTCCTGTTTATTTCTGCTTATCTCCATGGGGAAGTGGAACAGAATTCTTCCTCCATAAGCTATGCGTGTCGTAGGAGGTGACTAGATGCTGGGAGCCATGGGCTAGTAACCCCTTTTCCTGTATAAATTCCTAAGAAGAAGGAAAAGAAGAACTTTATAAAATTGGGATGTTTGAATGTGCATGGATGTAGTGCAGATGATAAGAAGTGATTGCAAAGGTTATGAATGAAAAGAAGTTGGATGTCCTAGCCCTAAGCGAAACAGAGCTGAAGGGGGTAGGGGAGTTTCAGTGGGGGAAAATAAATGGGATTAAGTTAGGAGTATCTGAGATAGTTAGAGCTAAGGAAGGGGTAGCAAGAGTGTTGAAGGATCATTTATGGAGAGAGAAGAGGGAATATAAATGTATCAATTCAGTGATTATGTGGATTAAAATAAGGGTCGGATGTGATAAGTGGGTCATAATAAGTGTGTATGCACCTGGAGAAGAGAGGAGTGTAGAGGAGAGAGAGAGAGATTTTGGGAAATGTTAAGCAAGTGTGTAGGAGCTTTTGAGCCAAGTGAAAGTAATTGTGGTAGGGGATTTGAATGGTAAAGTAGGAGAAGCATTTAGAGAAAGGTGTGGCAGGTAAGTTTGGGGTGCCAGGAGTAAATGATAATGTGGAGTATTCGATTGAACTTTGTATGGAAAGGGGTTTGGTTATAAGCAACACATATTTTGAGAAAAAAAGGATAAATAAGTAAACAAGATATGATGTAGGGCGAAATGACAGTAGTTTGTTGGACTACGTATTGGTAGATAAAAGATTGTTTGGTAGACTTCAGGATGTACATGTTTATAGAGGGACCACAGATGTATCAGATCACATTTTAGGTGTAACTACAATGAGCGTAAAAGGTAGATAGGATACAAGGAAAATGGAAGCAGCAAGTAAGAGAGAAGTGAAGGTTTATAAACTAGAGGAGGAGGCACTTAGGGTAAGATATAAACAACTGTTGGAGGACAGATGGGCTAGTCAGAATACAGGCAATGGGGTAGATGTGTGGAGTAAGTTTAAGAATATAGTGTTAGAGTGTTCTGCAGAAGTTTGTAATTACAGGAAAGTGGGTGCGGGAGGGAAGAAGAGTGATTGGTGAAATGATGTAAAGAGAGTAGTTAGAGAGAAAATGTTAGCATATGAGAGGTTTTTACAAAGTAGAAGTGATGCAAGGAAGGAGGAGTATATGGAGAGAAAAAGAGAGGTTAAAAGAGTGGTGAAGCAATATAAAAAGAGAGCAAATGAGTGGGTGGGTGAGATGTTATTAATAAATTTTGTTGAAAATAAGAAAAAGTTTTGGAATGAGATTAATAACTTGAGAAAACCTAGGGAAAGAATGGATTTTTTAGTTAAAAATAGGAGAGGAGAGTTATTAAATGGAGAGTTAGAGGTATCGGGAAGATGGAGGGAATATTTTGAGGAATTGTTAAATGTTGAAGATAGGGAAGCTGTGATTTTGTGTATAGAGCAAGGAGGAATAGTATCTTAAAGGAGTGAGGAAGAACCAGTTGTGAGTGTGGGGGAAGTGTGGGGCAGTGAGTAGAATGAAAGGGGGTAAAGCAGCTGGAATTGGTGGGATAAAGATAGAAATGTTAAAAGCAGGTGGGGATATAGTTTTGGAGTGGTTAATGTTTTTATTTAATAAATGTATGGATGAGGGTAAGGTACCTAGGGATTGGCAGAGAGCATGCATAGTTGTTTTGTATAAAGGCAAAGGAGACAAAAGAGCGTGTAAAAATTGTAGGGGAATAAATCTGTTGAGTATACCTAGAAAAGTGTATGGTAAAGTTATTAACAGTAGAATTATGAGTAAGACGGAGAGCAGAATAGCAGATGAACAAGGAGGCTTTAGGAAAGATAGGGGGTGTGTAGATCAAGTGTTTGCAGTGAAATGCGTAGGTGAATAGTATTTAGGTAAGGGTAAAGATTTTTTTTTTTTTTGGGGGGGGGGGGATTTGGAAAAGGCATATGATAGGGTGGATAGGAGGGCAATATGGTAGATGTTGCAAATGTATGGAATATAAGGTAGGTTATTGAAAGCGGTGAAAAGTTTTTACGAGGCTCAGGTTAGAGTATGTAGGTGAGAGGGAGACTATTTCCCAGTAAAAGTAGGCCTTAGACAAGGATGTGTGATGTCACCATGGTTGTTCAATATATTTGTAGGAGTAGTAAGAGAAGTGAATGCTCGGGTGTTGGCAAGAGGTGTGGGGTTAAAAGATAAAGAATCAAATACAAAGCGGGAGTTGTCACAGTTGCTCTTTGCTGATGACACTATATTTTTGGGAGATTCTTAAGAGAAGGTGCAGAGGTTGGTGGATGAGTTTGGCAGGGTGTGTAAAAGAAGGAAGTTAAAAGGACAGAGTAAGGTGATGGGGATAACAAAAATTAGGTAACAGAAGAGTGGATATCAGATTGGAGGGAGAGAGTATGGAGGAGGAGGTGAATGTATTCAGATATTTGGGAGTGGACGTGTCAGCAGATGGGTCTATGAAGGACGTGGTGAATCATAGAATTGACGAGGGAAAAGAGGCGAGTGGTGCACTGAGGAGTCTGTGGAGACTAAGAACTTTATCCATGAAAGCAAAGAGGGGAATGTATGAGAGTATAATTATACCAATGCTCTTGTATGGGTGTGAGGCATGGGTTGCAAGTATTTCAGAAAGGAGAAGGCTGGAGGCAGTGAAGATGTCATGTCTGAGGGCATTGTGTGGTATGAATATAATGCAGAGAATTTGTAGTTTGGAGATTAGGAGGAGGTGTGGGGTTACCAAAACTATTATCCAGAGGATTGAGGAAGTGGGGTAGGGGTTGGCCTAGGAGAGGTTGGAGGAAGGGGGTACAGTAGGTTTTGTGTGCCAGGGGCTTGGACTTTCAGCAAGTGTGTGTGAGCGTGTTAGACAGGAGCAAATGGAGACAAATGGTTTTTAGGACTTGACGTGCTGTTGGAGTGTAAGCAATGTAACATTTATGAAGGGATTCAGGGAAACTGGCAGGCCGGACTTGAGTCCTGGAAATGGGAAATACAGTGTCTGCACTCTGAAGGAGGGGTGTTAATGTTGTAGTTTTATAACTGTAGTGTAGGCATGCCCCTGGCAAGACAGTGATGAAGTGAATGATGAAAGTTATTCTTTTTCAGGCCACCCTGCCTTTGTGGGAAACGGCCAGTGTGTTAACAAAACAAAAAAAAATACAATATATAATGCATAGGTTGTAATGTGCAAAATGATATAAGATGCTTCCTAATCTCCTTCTGGCTAATTTGGGTGTGTAATTTCCAACCATACCCCTGTGTTCTTTTTGCATTCCTGGTAATTAGCCTGTCCTTGTTTCCTCCTGTCTTTATCTTGTATTGTTTTGTATGTCATGATCATCTCTTAGTTTTTGTTCCTTTAGGCCATATTTCTTTATCCATTCTAATAGCTTTCCTGTTTCGGGCTTCTCAAATTTTCTGAGCAGCCTTTTATGTAGTAACATGTCATTTTTATGTGGTAAAATGTCATTTTTGTTTTTGTTTTTTATTTAGTAGTATATGTAGGGATATACAGTTCATTCATGAGTGTCAGAAGGTTAACTATGATACATAAGCTAATAGTGACAGCTATATCAGGCAGTAAGTTTTGTAAAAGAAAAAGTAATAAAATGTAGCAAAACTGGAATACAGGTATTCATGCAGTAATTAGGACATTTAATTAGGAGACATTTTGCCCACTGGGGACTTTTTCAATCCAGTACAGGAATGTCTCTGGGGACGATGTAATCATCGCTACTGCTGATAATGTAGCTTGGTGCTTATCTTGAGCATGATAGCCTACAATTCCAAGACCCGTACCCTATGAGTGTCAGTAGAGCAGAGTGAGTTAGCTACGAAAAATTTTCTTAGACAATCCTGCAGTATACTCCAAGTGGTTGGGCAAGGAAAGAAATTGCTGTACTGTTCCTCTTTTCTAGCAATCTCAGACCATCCATACTTTATGGGTTATCCAAACTCCATACAACTAACATTCCTCTCATATTGATCACTTCAAGGATAGGCAGTGCTCTACACACTCAGGTTTACATGTGAAACATCTCTCGCACACTTAGGTGACCTCATTAATCACAATAAAGACATCGTCAGAATTAGAAAATTAGTTAGTTTTAATATAACTGTCTTGTTTACTAATATATCAACCACACAAGTAGTTGTACGACTACATAATAAATTTATCACTAACCTAGGGCTTCCTATTCCCATCAGTGAATTTGTTGATTTTATCAAGCTATGTGTTAATTGCAGTTGTTTTAGGTTTGGGGGAACAACTTTAGATAATGTTTTGTATATATGATGCCTGCTTTTTGCTGTGTTTTACATATACTTCCATATCTCTAACTTCTATACATTGTTATAGTAGTGTATAGATTTGATACTGTACACTCAGATATCTTCCATGTATATATTGTCAGGTGTGTCTCTTTTTCATTCCAGAGAGCAGATTCCAAATATGTACTGTACTCCATGTTTTTTCCCAGTAGTTTAATTGCTTGGTCTATGAGATATTTCTCCTGTGTTTTGTAGCCGGTGTTTCTTTTGAGTTCTTCAATCTTTCCATACCTGAACAGTTGGAATTTGTCACCAGTAAACATTGTATTAACTTGTTGCCTGCTGGATAACTTTGTTGATATCTGCTTATATATTGTGTATCCTCTACTGAGGTGACTTTTCATGCTTATTTTGGTAGCATCCTCACAGGATGACACAAAGCTAGGGATAGTTTTTTTTTGTCTGCTACAATAATGAGAAATGGTAATAGCACCAGGACTGTGCATTGGGGTACTGAATTTTTACTTAGCTAAGTTTTAAATTTTGTTTTGTTTATTAATATTATGTTTCCTTTTTGTTAACATTAGCTTTAAGGTTTATTATGTCCTTAATGGATGCCACTGACAGACATCTTTTAAGCCTCATCTGCAAATAATTATAATTTGTATATTTATGGATATCTCATTTTAAAATTTTTGGATTCAATTTTCTAACAAATCTAAAAAAAATTCTAAAAGCACAGTACTCACCCCAATTCTCTCTCTCAATCTCATTTTGGACATTGATAAATATACAAATCAGCAAAAAAAAAAAAAAAAAAAATCAGGGCACAGTACTCAAATAAGAGTACTGTGCCCTGTTTTTTTTTTTTTTTTTTTTTTTTTTTTTTTTTTTTTTTTTTTTTTTTTTTTTTTTTTTTTTTTTTGTATATTTATCAATGTCCAAAGTGAGATTGAGAGAGAGAATTGGGGTGAGTACTGTGCTTTTAGAATTTCTTTTAGATTTGTTAGAAAATTGAATACAATCTATCTGCCCACTTTTAACAGCTTTTTCTTTTGCACACATTTTGACCACACTTTTTGAAGGTTTTTGTTTATTTTCCAGTGCATCCAAAACAGTCAAGTAAAAGTGGTTTAGTAGCAGAGCATCTGGCTCAAAATCCATATTGAGGGTACATGCCGTAGATCTACACTTTGTCCACAAGGTTCAAACCGTAGTTCTACGTCATGAGCTCAGCTCACTCATATGAGCTGTGAGTGGTAAATTTGGGCCTAGATATGAGAGAATGAATCTATGCGGTAAGTGTGCACCATATAAAACAAATCTTGCAGCATGCAGTGCATACTGAGAAAAAAAAATGTGACCATGTTCTTGGATTAAAACACTGAATTTGTGGTATATTTTCTTATGGTTTTTATGGTTGTATTCACAGTTTCTTGGTCACATTTGATAAATTGGAAGATATATTACATAAATAGAGATGATTTTGATTGGTTTTAGTACTGAAAATAGCTTGAAATTGAGCTCAAAGTAGCAGAAATGTTCGATTTTTGCCAAGGTTAACCCTTTTAGGGTTTCCGACGTACTAGTACAGCTTACACACGCATCAGGGTTATTGACGTCCTTGAACGCCTAATTTCTAGCGCCTTCAAATCTAGTGAGAGAAAGCTGGTAGGCGTAAATATGAAAGAATGGATCTATGTGGTCAGTATGCACAGTATAAAAAAAATCCTGCAGCACACAGTGCATAATGAGAAAAAAAAACTCCGACCGTGTTTTTGGATTAAAACAGCGACTTTGCAGTGTATTTTCGTATGGTATTTATGGTTGTATTCTAGTTTTCCTGGTCTCATTTTATAGAATGGAAGACATTACAGAAATTGAGATGGTTTTGATTGATTTCATAATGAAAAGTACCCTGAAATTGAGCTCAAAGTATCAGAAATGTTAGATTTTTTCCAAATTTCAAAAGTAAACAAATCATGCCAAGCGTCCAATACATGTCAACTGGCGAGTCTAATATTCTTTCACAAGTGCACTGATGTTATTTATACCATTTCTACACTAATGCAGTAGTCTGCATAACAGTAAATCTTCTATTTTTTGTGATAATAAAAATTTAAAGTGGAAAGCAAAAGAAATGTAAGAGGGGCTTGGGGACATGACTAATGAACAGAGAAAATGTTATTTTAGTGTCTGTCTTGCTTATTCTGGACCCTAATTAGAAATTGGCATCTTCTGAAATTTGTGAAATTGGCAAAATTGCCAATTTCTGACCACTGTATTGGATACTTGAAATTGGTAAATGGGTGGTTTCTTTTACTCATTCGATAGAAAAAATGGAGTTCTAGCAAAACGGATATGATTTTTGTCGACTAGTAACTGAAATTGGTTGAAAATAGGACTCAAAGTGGGCGAAATCGCCGATGTTTGAACATCGTCGAGACCACTAACTTCGCGAAAGCATAATTCTGTAAGTTTTCCATCAGATTTCATACTTTTGGTGTCATTATGATCGGGAAAAGATTCTCTCTCATTACATAAGAATTTTTTTTTTTTTTTTTTTTTTTTTCCGAAAAATTTTCGACCCTGAGAACGAGTTTAGGAGAGGGGCTCTCGACATCACACATCCAGTACACATCAACTTGTGGGTCTAATATACCTTTACGAATGTGGTGATATTGTTTATGCAATTATTAGAATATTGCATAACGGTAAATCTTCTATTTTTTGGTGTGAATAAAAATTCTTCGTGTAAATAAAAAATCAAAATGGAATTCATGTGTAAAGCCTGGAAACTTAATAAACAGAGGAAATGTTATTTTAGTGTCAGGAATACCTGCATTGTTTATTTTGGTCCCTGTTTTGAAACTGGAATATTTTGAACTTTGTGTGAAATTGGCCAAATTACCAATTTCTGATCACTTTATTGGGTAGTTGAAATAGTTGATTGGGCAGTTTCTTGTGCTCAGTCGATAAAATAGAAGTAATACTAACGAAATAGCTAAGAATTTGGCCTACTGGAATAATGTAATTGGCCTAAAATAGGAGTCAAAGTGGGCAACATCACCGATGCATAAATATCGCTGGCACAGTAAAATTCACAATAGTGTAATTTTGTCAGTTTTCTATCAAATTTCATACATTTTGTTTTATTACCTTCCGAAAAAGATTCTCTACCATTTCATAAGAATTTTTTTTTTTTTTTTTTAAATTCTTGGGCTCTGTGAACAAGAAATATCATAGGTATTTTTAGATCTATGGCTTGGACTTTCATGTAGTGATTCTATGTACTGGGCAGTTTTTCTTTAGCACACTTTTTAGAAGACTTTTATAATTAAAAAAAATATAATTGAAATATCATAGGTATTTTTATATGCAAAATTTTATGAAGGAATTATTTTTTACAGTTCTCCCTTGAAAATGTTCGATCAAAAGACAAACCAGACGTAGAAAATGATACTGAAACGGTTACGGTCCAGCTGAGAAAAAAGAATACTGAAGATAAAGTGGGTAAGTTGCTGTGCACTTAATAAATTACAATGTTATTAATTCCTTGTTTAAAAAAAAAATTCTTGGCCGTTCTAGTAGCCCTCTTACTCTAGGCATTTTAGTTTTTTTTACAGCACACTTGACTTCCTGGGGAGGAAGGGAAATTCTAACCTATCTCCATGGGAGGGCAACTAACTTTTATTAGGGGAAAACTGTTTAGTTGGACTTGAGTCATGGAGATGGGATGTATTTTTTTTTTTTTTACACAGGGTTTGACAAGGTTAAGGATCCCTAGCTTTATTGACAAGCTATTTTCAGGTTAAGGATTCCTAACTTTATTGGCAAGCTAAGAGCTGTTACCTACATCAGCTCATTTGAAAGCATTTTTATTGTTATGAGACATACAAGTAGGGAACAGGATGAAGTTGGAGCCATCTGTGGGCCAGCATTTTCATTTGATCAACTGACTTTATCTCGTTGACATCATTATGCTGTATGAATGTGTTCCATACTCGAGTCAACCTGGGTATATAGGATATCAGATGGAGTGAAGTTGCTGCTTTCTGCCCATCTTGTGGCATAAAAGCTTGTTTCACGCTGTCCTCGAAGTGGATCCAAGTGTGGTACTTTGACAGTATTGGCCTTGTACATAACAGTAAGGCCACCCACATCCCTCCTATGTTGAAGGCTCTGCTGAAATGACAGATCTATCCAGGATGGGTCCAGGCGAGAGATGAGACGTCTTCCTCTGTTCTCTACTCTGTCGTCAAGCAGTCGCAGATGAGAGGGGGGGCAGACAAACCAAGAAAGTGGAGCATACTCAAGGTGCGAGCGCACTTGTGCCTCGTACAGAATCTTGCAGCCCCTACTGTCAAGTAGATGCGAGATACGGCGAAGTGCTGTAAGCTTCCTGGCTGCCTTGTTTGCAAGATTTACAACATGGTTCTTCATGGTTAGTTTGGAGTCAAATTTCACCCCAAGGATATCAACGTCTTCTCCAGGTGCCAACACCCTCCCATTCATTCTTACTACTGCACCAGCATTACCATCATGGTGCCTAGAGACGATCATCATTTGCGTTTTCTCAGGTGCAAATGTTACTTGCCATCTATTTCCTCAAGCTGATATAGCTCTTAGCTGGTGATTGATGTAGCTTAGAGCAGCTGGCATTTCTTCTCTTGGATAAGTGAATGTCAGTGTGCAGTCGTCTGCATATGCATGTGATTCTGGGATGAGATGAAGAAGGTCGTTGAAGTAGACATTCCATAACAATGGTCCCAGCACACTTCCATGTGGAACACTTGCCCCAATAGGATGTCTTGCTGATTCCGTTCCATTGAGAACTACACTTAGAGATCTGCCAAGAAGGTAATCACTGAGGAGACATAGCGTAGAGCCTGCAATTCCCAGTGCTTGAAGTTTTGCTAAGAGGCCCTGGTGCCACACCCGGTCGAAAGCGCCAGCAATGTCCAGTGCTACCACACAGCTAACTTTGGATTCATCCAGTGACTGGTGCCACTTAGTGGAGAGGTTTAACAACAGATCAGCAGCAGAGTAACCTTTCCTGAAGCCATATTGACGATCACAAAGTAGTGAGTGATAGTCAAAAAACCCTGTCATTTGTCTTGAGATTATTGTCTCAATGATCTTACAGTGATTGACAGGAGTGACACTGGTCTGTAGTTGCTGATTTCTGCTCTGCTCTTCTTTTTGTGAACAGGGACTGCATTTGCCTCTTTCCATAGAGAGGGCCATTTACACTGTACTAGGCAGTGCTGAAAGATGCGAGTTAGAGGTGCTGCTAGCTGGTCTGCGCATCTCAGCAATCTTGGGCTCAATTTGTCTGGGCCCACAGCCTTTTCTTGGTCAAGCGATTTAAGAAGGAAATGCACCTCCTCCTGCCTTATTGTCACCACTGACAGTTTTGACACAGTTCTTGCAGCTAGCCAAGGAGGGTCCCTTGCTGGATCAGGAACTTTCATTTTGGTAACAAAGTGTTCAGCAAAGAGGTCCGCCTTCTCTTGACTACTAGTAGAGGTGGTCCCATCCTGTCGATTTAGAGGTGGAATGAGTTCATCAGGCAGATAGCCTTGTCTGTCCTTGACCAGGGACCACCAGGTTTTGGAGCCTACCCTACCTGATGCTAGCTTTCTTTTAGTGTCCACCTCCCATTTAGCAATGGCCCACTTTTGAATGTCACCCATATGTCTACAGGCTTGCCTGTGCAAGTTCCTGTTATAGGTGGTAGGATGTCTCTTATACCTTCGCCATGCTTTGTACTTAGCAGTAGCAGCCTCTCTACAGCGAAAGCCAAACCAAAGCTGATCCGTAGGCTTCGTCACATATTGCCGGTGAGGAATGTGTTCTTGTTGTAGTGCCTGCACTCTGAATGAATGGCAAGGATGTTACAGTCAAAGGATTGTGATGTATGGAAGGACAGCGATAGAGTGAATGATGAATATATTTTCTTCTGGTCTCTCTGTCTTGGCAGGAGACAACTCTTTAAAGTTAGAAAACAAATAATGATTCCTTTCTCCTGTCATAAATTCTTCCCTTCTTCCTCCCCCTCCCCTCCTCTCTGATCTCCTTCCCCTCTCCTCCTCCTCCCCTCTCATCCACCTCCCTCCCCTTCATGCCCACCCCTTCCCCCCTCACCTCCCTCCACTTCCCTCCTTGTCCTTCTGCTCCTACCCTCTTCCCCCTTCCTCTTTTCCTCACTCATTTTCATTTGTCTTCTTCCATCCTTTTTGCTCCCTCAGTTTTTTTTTTTACCTATTAACTATGAAAGCTTTGAGTTAATTTCAAATCTTGCTAATAGACATTGTTTTCTTACCTAGCAGTGACTTGGAAATTTCCACATGTATAATTTTTTTTTTTTTTTAATTTCAGATGAAGATAAAGAGAGTGAGCGTAACTCACAGACGAGAGAAGGTACTCAAGCTGCAATACAGAGACGGAAAAAACCGAAGAGACGTTCTACGGGTGTAGTTAAGGTGAATATAGATGTAAGTACTCATTTTACAGTTTTGTTTATCTTTATTTTTTATAATTTTTTTAGTTCAGCTTTTCAATAATTTGAAACTAGGTGCTTTTTTTTTTTGTGTATAATTTTTTATTTATTTGGATTTAAAATATGCTTACATCTCGGACCTCAGGAAATAGACCCTGAGAAGAGAGCTCAGCGTTCATCAGAACAGCAACAACAGCAGCAGCAGCAAGCAGATGAAGGGAGTGAAGAGGAAGAGGGTGATGACAAATTGGTGAGTGTGCTTTTGTGCTTTTTTTTTTTTTTATTTAGCCTGTGTATTTTACATTACTAATTGGCTTAGTTGTATGTAATGTCTTATTTGAAGCTTTATTTTTTGCTAATTTGCATGCTGTGTTTGTTGCTTAGGCAAGTTAAATTATTTTAAATTTTGGATCATGTTGGTTTATAGCTTGTATTAATGGCCAAGAGTTGACTTTTTTTTTTTTTCTTGCTTAAATTTATATCCCTTGTCATATAGGTGTACATGATTTCAGTTTATTTTTAAAAATATGTTTCTAACTAATTTTGGGTTGATGAATTCAAATCTGAATTTAGTTTTGCTCCAACAAGGAGCAAGGGTTGTTGAGGTGGTTCGGACATGTAGAGAGAATGGAGCGAAACAGAGGGACTTCAAGAGTGTATCAGTCTGTAGTGGAAGGAAGGCGGGGTAGGGGTCGGCCTACGAAAGGTTGGAGGGAGGGGGTAAAAGAGGTTTTGTGTGCGAGGGCTTGGACTTCCAGCAGGCATGCATGAGCGTGTTTGATAGGAGTGAATGGAGACAAATGGTTTTTAATACTTGACACGCTGTTGGAGTGTGAGCAAAGTAACATTTATGAAGGGGTTCTGGGAAACCGGCAGGTCGGACTTGAGTCCTGGAGATGGGAAGTACAGTGCCTGCACTCTGAAGGAGGGGTGTTAATGTTGCAGTTTAAAAACTGTAGTGTAAAGCACCGTGAATGATGGTGAAAGTTCTTCTTTTTCGGGCCACCCTGCCTTGGTGGGAATTGGCCAGTGTGATAATAATAATAAAAATGTACAGTTTCTGTGAAATAGAAACCCACGGTGAACAATTTTACGAAGCCATAGCCATCATGGAGAAGAGATATCAGGGAAGCCTGACTATCTGTTTGATGATCAATTACTCCTGGACACTGGTGTGTTAGAGCTCATGTTAATGATTAGCACATCAAATTTAGCTTAAAACAGCCAATTTGGTTTCTGAACCAGGTAAAAAAAAATTAATTTTGTTGGCTAGTGTTAATTTTAACTCAAGGAAAACTGGAGAAAAAATAGAAAACTATGGTATGTTAGGAAGAAGGATGAAGCCAGCTGCAAAATGCATGGAAATCATGAACTGTGGTGACAACTTGCATTACAAGTTGTTAGTATGATTATTAACCATGTGAAGTACCTGTGTCTGGGCAAGGAGGTCATGGCAATCTGTCACAGCCCTTAAACAATACACTGATAACCCTCACATAGGAGAATGAAACTTATGATGATGTTTTAGTCAGACCTGTGCCATTAACCAGGCACACATTATGACTAGTTAATGGTCCAGATTGGACTGGAACATTGTAAGTTTCATTCTCCAGTGTGCAAGTTATTTGTGTATTGTTCCAGTCACGTTATTGTGCCTTTTTTATTCTTTAAGGCCTTTAACAAAACTGTAATTGGTTGAATACTGAAGACAAGGACACCATAGGATTAGCTTGTTCCTTCATCTGTAAATGCGGTAATTGGTATATGACCTATGGAGGCCATTCAGAGGAAATTCAGTTCAAGGTCACAAGCAAGAAGTTCGCTACTATATCTAGCTGGTGGAACTGTCTTTTGCAAATTACATTGTTGAGCAGCTGAAGTAGGATGAAGTTTCTGCTGCTGCTTGTGGTACTGCATGTGCTGCTTTTTGCTGTTGTTGCTATTTCTGCTATTGATGCTGCTGCTGCTGCTGCTGCTGCTGCTGCTGTTGCTTTGGGCCTTGCTTAAAGGTTAAACATATTTGTTTTGAAAAATTTCAGTGTTCTTGCATTTTTAATAAAGCAGCCCCATTTTCTGATTGTGAAACATAAACCTTTTCAGGGGCATATTTAAAAATATAATAGTTAATTAAAGTTTTTCACCTCTAGATAAACATATATTTTTCTGAAGATTTCATTCAGTATTGTTATTGGTAACCTTGTTTATAAATTTTTATTATGATTTTAGCTAAAATTTTGGAGTAATTTTTTTTTCTCAAAATGAAGTGAGAGTGTAACCAAAGGAAATTTTGGAATGTAACTAGCATAACTCTTACAGTTCACCCTTAAACTACGCATGGGCGGCAGGGCACCCTTTAAAGTGCAGGCATTGTACTTCCCATTTCCAGTACTCAAGTCAGGATGTAAAAATAACTGGTTTCCCTGAATCCCTTCACAAAATATTACCCTACTTACACTCCAACAGCTTGTCAGGTCCCAAAAACCATTCATCTCCATTCACTCCTATCTAACATGCTCACACATGCTAGCTGGAAATCCAAGCCCCTCGCCCACAAAACCTCCTTTACCCCCTCCTTCCAACCTTTTCGAGAACAACCCCTACCCCGCCTTCCTTCCCCTACAGATTTATACACTCTCCATGTCATTCTACTTTGATTCATTCTCTCTAAATGACCAAACCACCTCAACAACCCCCCTTTAGCCCTCCGACTAATACTTTTATTAACTCCACACCTTCTCCTAATTTCCACACTCCGAATTTTCTGCATAATATTTACACCACACATTGCCTTTAGACAGGACATCTACACTGCCTCCAACTGCCTCCTAGCTGCAGCATTTACAACCCAAGCCTCACACCCATATAAGAGAGTTGGTACCACTATACTTTCATACATTCCCTTCTTTGCCTCCACAGATAACGTTTTTTGTCTCCACATACATCTCAACGCACCACTCACCTTTTTTTCCTTCATCAATTCTATGGTTAACCTCATCCTTCATAAATCCATCTGCTGACATGTCAACTCCCAAATATCTGAAAACATTCACTTCTTCCATACTCCCTCTCTCCAATATGATATCCAATTTTTCTTTATCTAAATCATTTGATACCCACATCACCTTACTCTTATCTATGTTCATTTTCAACTTTCTACCTTCACTCATTTATTAAACAAAAATACCAACCACTCCAACACTATATTCCCCCTGCTTTTAACATTTCTGTCATGATCTCATCAGTTCCAGCTGCTCTACCCCATTTCATTCTGCGTAATGCATATATTCAATTAAAAAATAAAACTGATGTAGATGAGAGTGAAAAAATTAATGTAAAGCTCAATTTTGCCCAAAGAAATGACTGTGCTTCAATTAGCTGAACATAATATTTACATATTTTCTGGCTTTTTCTATTTATATTCAGTTTTTGATCTGCTAAATTTGTTCACATGTACAATAGTATGGAAATCATGGATATGTGAAATGTCACATGTGCATTAAAGAGAACTCTTTTTTTCATATATCATAGATGCTGTATGCAATGTAAAGTTATCTGTTCTCAGAACTTAATATTAATATTATGTCTAAACAACCCACAGCAGAGTTGTTAACCCCTTCAGGGCTTCCAACGTACTAGTACAGCTTACGCACCAGGGTTACTGACGTACAAGTACGCCTAAATTCTAGCGCCTTCAAATCTAGTGAGAGAAAGCTGGTAGGCCTAAATATGAAAGAATAGGTCTATATGGTCAGTGTGCACAGTATAAAAAAAAATCCTGCAGCACACACTGTATAATGAGAAAAAATAACTGACCGTGTTTTTGGTTTAAAACAGCGGCTTTGCAGTGTATTTTCGTATGGTATTTATGGTTGTGTTTAAGTTTTCCTCGTCTCATTTTATAGAATGGAAGACATATTACAGAAATTGAGATGATTTTGATTGGTTTCATAAAGAAAAGTACCTTGAAATTGAGCTCAAAGTAGCAGAAATGTTCGATTTTTACCAAAGTTCAAAAGTAAACAAATCATGCCAAGTGTCCAATACACGTTAACTGGTGAGTCTGATATTCTTTCACAAGTGCACTGATGTTATTTATTCCATTTCTACACCATTTCTACACTAATGCAGTAGTCTGCATAACAGTAAATCTTCTATTTTTTGTGAGAATAAAAATTCAAAGTGGAAAGCAAAAGAGATGTAAGAAGGGCCTGGGGACGTGACTAATGAACAGAGAAAATGTTATTTTAGTGCTGGAAATGTCTATCTTGTTTATTCTGGACCCTATTTGGAAATTGGCATCTTCTGAAATTTGTGTGAAATTGGCAAAATTGCCAATTTCTGACCACTTTGTTGGATAGTTGAAAATAGTAAATGGGTGGTTTCTTGTACTCATTCTATAGAAAAAATGGAGTTCTAGCGAAATAGATATGATTTTTGTCGGCTAGTACACTGGAATTGGCTGAAAATAGGGCTCAAAGTGGGCAATAACACCGGTGTGTTAACATCGTCGAGATCACTAACTTCGCGAGAGCATAATTCCGTAAGTTTTCCATCAAATTTCATACTTTTGGTGTCATTATGATCGGGAAAAGATTCTCTCTCATTACATAAGAAAAAAATCTTTTTTTTTTTTTTCCGAAAAATTTTCGACCCTGAGAAGTAATTTAGGAGTGGGCCTCTCGACCCTGAAAGTGTTAAGGAGGGGTTTAGGATATTGGCAGTTTGGAGGGATATGTTATATATCTTTATATATGCTTCTAAACAGTGATTATGTGTGAGTGAGGTGAAAGTGTTGAATGATGATGAAAGTATTTTCTTTTTTGGGATTTTTTCTTTTTGGGTCACCCTGCCTTGGTGGATGATGGCTGACTTGTTGATTAAAAAAAGAAAAAATGTATGAAAGAGGTGAAGGTACCTAGGGATTGGCAGAAAGCATGTATAGCTCCTTTATATAGAGGGGAAGGGGGACAAAAGAGATCGTAAAATTATAGGGGAAGAAGTTTACTGAGTATACCAGGTAAAGTTTATACATAAGCTTATTATTGAAAGAATTAGAGGTAAGGCAGAGAGAAGGAGGCTTTAGAGTGGGTAGGGGATGTGTAGATCAAGTGTTTATGTTGAAGCATATATGTGAACAGTATTTAGATAAAAGTAGGGAAGTTTTCATTGCATTTATGGATTTAGAAAAGGCATATGATAGTGGATAGAGGAGCAATATGGCAGATGTTGCAAGTGTATGGAATAGGTAGT